AGTACAGTTTGAACTGATACCGAGGTACTACAGGGTGTATGCCTGTCAGGAGAAAGTAGCTCTTGGTGAACAGCTGCTTTGTGATAACAGTGCTTTTCTTTTATGGGCCATGACAAAATACATAATCTAAACACACAAAAGGTCAAAGAAATCAAGCTCATCAAAAAATACTAACTTCCCTAACAGCTGCAGTCTATGAGCTTGTAGGGGCCATAGTTTAGTGGTACATGTCAAGCCGTTTAAGCCATTTTAGCAAACAATGACAAAAGTCCTTTATTGAAGAAAGTCATTTCCTTAAGCTGACAGTAAAGATCTAACGTATCAGTACACGATGGTCAAAATTTTATGGAATAAAGATAACTGCAGATTTGAGAACAGAATCTCGTCCTTGAAAGCTCTTCATCTTAGAGACTGAAGGAGTCTTTTAAGGGTTAATACCCTTCCACCCCACTTATTTTCCAGGGAAGGAACAACCTACAAAACAAGCACATCCAAACTCCGCATGGAGTTCAAGGACATTTCCCTGTTTGCGCTGTCAATCCCAAATCGTCAAAAGTTGCCTTACAGTTATTTCAGTTAATTGGGTACTGCTCTGCTTTGTTAGCCTGGGAAGTAAACACAGAGCACTGAGCTAAATGTTATTTTAGGCATCAGTTGGCAGCAGCTGCTACCACATGACTGCGTTTTGGGTACCGATGCGGAGCACCTCAGCCGGGCACACGGCGAGGGGGAGAGGGACCAAAGGGAGAGAAGGGCCACGCGCTTCTCACCCCGACCCCCTTCAACCAAACGGAGCAGCGCGTTGTGTTCAGCTCTGCAGAGAGCTGCATCAATTGTCTTTGCCTGGTCAGAGTAACACGGGTCCTTGCAAAGCAGAAATAGGATGGAGTAGACAGCTTTAAAAAGAAAAGTCCCAGCTGTACAGTTATATACACACATGCATGTAAAACAGATGGCTACACCAGCATATCTTGATGTATGTACAGCATAGCAGAGTGAACACTTAATACTACTGAGACACAGAACGCAGTTTCATTAAAAACAGAATGTTCACCAACATTACACACACCAGCAGACCACACAGTGCACATACACACGTACAAGGTGCAAAACTGTTGCTGTGAACACTGACCTTCCTGTGCCACAAAACGCTAACTACCGCAGATTTCAGGACATCACAAGTTTTACTCTTGCCTTCACTGCTCCAATACAAATAAAAAAGTTGCATGATGGAGGGTATCTCAGAACCCTTGCTGCTCTTACAGTTTTTACTTACGCAAAAAAAACCCCACTTTCTCCTTTAACGTGGTTTCCTTTTAATGAGTTTTGGCAGGTAGGTTGGTTTGTTGTGGATTTTTTTTTTCCTAAACCCCACACGCACTTGCCGAGTATCAAAGGTACAAACACATGGCACATCTATCCTGCAACAAAGGACCCTGTCATCAAATCAGTACGTGCACAGTAACATCAGGCTGGAAACGTCCAGTTCTAAAGGCAAGACAGCTACTTCCTTGTCCAGCTTTTCTGCACCATGTATGATAGGAGCTTTTTTTTTTTTCTTTTTTAAAGACATTTTCTGGCAATTATATGTCCAGAAGGAACTTCAGGCAGAGTCACCTCATTACCGGCACTTCCCTGAATTGCATGACCGCATCTCTCCCGAGAAGTTTACAAGCTAGAGTGTTAGGACGTGAAGGGAGGGATGTGTTACAGCTCAGTGGGTATTTCACACAGTTGTACAAAAAGGACGTTCTAGGTAGTTCCTGCAACTTTGATAACCCTAAGCACCTCTTTGAGACATACTCCACATTTCCATGAAGTAGGGCAGAAGAATCAAAAGCTACTGCAGTCTGCCGTATCTGCCATTCCTCAATCCTAAGTGTCCAAGTCTCACACTGAATTTTATTATGAGACACTATTGAGTCTCGCTCCAAGTCAAACAGGCCAAAAGACAATGTTTAAATTGATCTCCAGCAACTCTGGCCATAAATTGCCTTGAGGCAATACAATCAAAAGTACTAGGTTTTTTTTTTTTAAAAAAAAAGGAACACCTCCCACCCTCCTGTCCAAAGCTTTAAAAAACAGGGAAAACAGGGAATCATTTTGCTTTCTTTTCCTTTTTGGGGGGATATTGGGGGAAGTAAGGTGGATGGGAGAAGAAAGGATGTTAGGCAAACCCAGACAATTACTTCAAGATTAGCAAACAAATGTTAAGGCTGAGTAAGTGGCCATAACTTCTCAGTGGGGAACTCCTAAACCCAGCGTCTTGCAAGAATGACCCCACTGTTTAGAAGTCTGTTGCGTATTTAAGGCAAAACAATCGACCACTATGATCAAGATTCAACTAAGTCTCCATCAATTAAATTCCATCAAGAAAATAAAGGTATCTATTCAATATCACTATCTCCCAGCCCTAAAGTAGAAAATAAAGAATTACAATGCTTCTTCCCCAATACCATACCCTAAATAACTGGTTTAGCAAATTTAGCCTCCAGAGTAAAGCAAGTAGGAAGACAGCCCACCTGGCATTCAGACCAGGGCTAGAGACCTCGGCAATGCCCACCACCCAACACGGTGCAACGCCTGCCCCAGGAGAACAGCCCCCCGCTTTCCCTTTTCGGTGCCCGAGACCCTTCCCGGCAGCAAAACCAGCAAGCAGTTCCGAGCATTTCTGGAAACAAGGAAAACTGACACCTGCTTGGGTATTTATGTGGCTGAAAGACTTCATGGCAGTAGTTCACTTTCTACCCGTCTGAAACCGGCAAAACATCACTCCCAGCCCTGGAGTACAGTCTGAACACCAGAACGGGCAGACAGGAGAGCACAGACTGAATGCCACAGAGCGATGTCTGTTTGCAAGCATAACTGCACCACCCCAGCCTTTTATCCACGCTCCTCCAGAGGGAGCGTGACATCTTAAAGAACAGTTGATGTGGCACCATGCTGGCTCCTGACAGAAGCCAGACCTCACAAGGAGCTGTACTGGCAATCAGTCCAGTCTTTTGTTCAGAATTATTTAGCAGACACACGTGAAGAGAGTCCAGAAGTTTCTCCCTTTCGGGGAGAAGGCTCAACCCAGGTACTCGCACAGGGATACCCTGCAAAGAGTCTGCCTTCTTCCAGCGACTATGAGGGTCCTAACTTAAGCTACAGAAGTTAGACGTGTGGTGATGGTGGGTAATTTTAAGAAATGCACAGCATAATTTGAGGCCATCAGCGATGATTCTGTTGCACAGCTTTTAAGTACTGCTGTTCTCTTCACTTTTTCACACCTTCGTTGTGATTAGGAGAGGTAAGGAGAGGAACAAGGCACAGTAAAGGTCAAAAATTAGAAACAATACTTGTAAATATACAATTCTGTTTTTCACCAACTTTACTAGGCTCTCTTCATAAGCTAAGAAGTTCTTTGAAATTATTTGCTTGAGCTTCAAAGACAGAAGTCTGACTTGCCACTGAAAACCAAATGCGTGCATACACAACTGTTTAGATCTACCATTAGCCACCGGTATGTACAGATGCATGGATTTCCTGGAGAAGCAAATGTTAGACAAAAAATAAGAATTACCTGTCATTTAAAACATTCAGTGTTTCTTTGCATTAGTTATATTAGAAGATGTTAAAGTGGACAAGTGGACCTGCCAAATTAATCTTCTCTTTCTCAATGAATCTTCGATGAAGTCCTAATATGAAGACTCTTAAAAATGGTGCCCCCAGACTCTGCATGCATTGAGATTAAAGCATTGGGAAAAAAATTCTTCATGCTACAGATCTGCCAAAGTCAAAAGGGAGCTCTAATATCTTTGGACAGACAACAACAAATCAGAATCCAAACATCAAGCCAAACTTAAGTTCACTGTACAAAATACACCTTTGTTTGCAAATTCCTGGGAGTAACAAAAAAAAAAAGGTTTTGGCATGAAGT